AAAATAAACCTGTATATATTAAAAAAAATCACAAAATATGTGCACATAAAAACAACAACCTAAGTTGATAGACAGAAATTAGAAATTTGTCCTTTTATTATTACAGAACGTCATAGCTAACTTGGAATTTATCCATCACACAGATCACAAGAGTATGAATAAWTCTTACTTGAAATGTGTTGAGCATATTCCTATTTTAGCAAAGAAATAAAAAAAGATAATTTTGAGGAAAAAAAAAACAAATGTGGTATGTCTTCAACAACTCATAAATAGAAGGTCAAAGAACAGAATGAGTCTCTGTCAGGATGCAGAAAACAAGAGTGCCAAAATAAATCCGGGCATAATTCCAGATAAAGTCCCAAACTTAGGTGATCTGATTTTTCATCTTCAGTTTGTACAGTTCTCCGAAACCTAAAAGGAAGTACATAAGAACAATTATACACAAATAAGTGAAATAAATAAATAAAAATAATTTCTTTTCAGACTATGATAAAATCCCTAAGATATAGGATATAATGACTAATAATATGTGAGTTCATTATTGTTTACGTAGCCACTTGCTCATGCGCACTGAAATCCTGTGGAACTTAATTTGCTTTAAGGGGATTTCCTGTTCGCACAATTAACCGCACAACAACCGACAATTTTACAATCTTGATTACTACTTAATATAGAATGTAGTGACACCAGAGAGTTGTTTTGCCGCACAACAAATGACATTTGCCAACCAAGATATAATTGCAATTTCACGCATTTATGACTGAATATTTTTGCAGATTTTATTAATGCTTACTTCTGATTAAATCATGAAATACTGTTAACACAACATCTACTTAAGAACAGCTATCATACATGGCAGGTTTTCCTGATATTGTGCTACTACTATCTAGAACCGAGCAAATGGGGCTGGACTGTCATTTATTAAATTGTCTTTTATTAACAGATCACTTTAAATTGCATTTATTGGTTAACACGTTCTTCTTGAACTCTTGTTACTACGTGCATTGAATATGTGTTTGTGTATTTGTCTTCATGGATATTTTTAAAAAAGAGTTTCTGATTACTCTGCAATGATCAGTCTGTTTTTGTACCTTGAGAGTCTCAGAGGCTTTACGCAGCTCTTTGATGACTGCGGAAAGGGCTTCAGGATTGATGCCTTGCTCACACAGCCTGACACAGATGGACAGAGACTCCATGTCCAAACCTGTGTTCAGCAACATTGAGATCTCCAGCAGAACTGTTGAGGACAGATGAGGACAGGATGATTTTATTTTCTGAAGACAAGCCAAGGTTCAGCTACACAGCCCGCTTATGATAAGGCAACAAAGCTGTTTCACAAATAAATCATCCGCTAATAACACACTTACCATCCATTGTTTCCCGTACTGCGTTTAGATTCGCATTTGCTGCGCTGGCCATCGTGATAAAAAATGACAAGTTAGCTTTGAATGGCTAACAAATTCAGGGTTTTTGTCGCCACAAATAAAAAAAATAAAAGTCGGCGTTAATATTTTGTACGAAAACAATATCAAGACTTTACATACATCCTGTTTGCTTTACACAGGAAATCATATAACTAAATAACGCTCAACAATTCGTTGAAAACATTTGCAGAAAGTTAGCCACCTAGCTTACATGCAAAAAGCCCAGCGAAACTGACAGAGGAAGTGACGACACAAAAGTCTTCATTGGCTCCCGATGACTTCCTCTCACTTCTTATTGGTTGGCTTGCCTTGTGGGCAAAATTGAAATGAACGTTTGGATTGTTCCTAAGCTGCTGTGTCTTCGTCGGTGAGATTTTGTCGTCGAGGTCTGGCTTTATAACAGCTGTGAGTACAAACTAAAAACATTTTTATAATCTATATTGTTTAGGTAACGGGTTAAATGTGTAAATGCAACCGGTAGCATTTTGAAGCCGCATTGCTTTAATCGTGCCGATGTGTCACCTCGCAATCTGTTGAAGTAGTATCATCATGTCTCGTTAGTTTTGTGTTTAAAATGTGTTTTTCTTTTATCCTGATTGAAGCATTTTTTTTGTCTTCAACTAAGATGGGGGATCATAATCATACGGAGCCACAGATAACTCCAGAAACTCCAGGCAGGCCTTCCATAAGAAACCCATTTGAAAGTCCCAATGACTACCACCATCTGCRGGAACCTCTGGTTCCGAGCCCCTCTGTCTTCAGATCAAAGCCTTGCAAGACTGTAAGTCAAAATATATTCTTCTATCTTTAAGACCCATCACATATTGTGCAATAAAATCATGCCCACCAGCTAGACATTATTGTAAAGTGTTCATCTTTAATAGTTAGATCATTAAATGTTTTTGAATGTTTTCTTTCTGGTTCTTGTACACATTGTTCTTAAAATAAAATTAAATCAAATAAACAATTAGAGGGAGAAAGAAATAATGCCTTAAGATTAGATCTCAAATCAGTTCTTTGCCAAGTTGTGCATTATGTGTCGACACAACATCCCTTGAGTTTAGGAAGTGAAAACTGATTTTTTTTTCAGAAAGCGAGGAGAAACTGCTCAAGATAACTGCAAGAAATATTACAGCTAAGTCTGGCTCTTTTGGAGCAAAAAAAAAAAAAAAAAAAAAGTAAATGGTCAATGATTCGTTGACACTTTTGCTAAAAATTAGGGACGTCCTGATCCAGATTTTTTGGCTCCCGATACAATCTGAATTTTTTTAATGATTAGTCTTTCTGATACCGTTCCGATAGCTTTATTTCTTTCCAAGTGACAAGTTTGGTAGCATTAATGCGAGCCCTGCTGTTCCCACCACGAGAAACATCCAGTTTGCAGATTTTGCAAGATGCAGTTTCAGCATCATTGTTTTCCATTGAAAAGTGTTCCCACACTGTGGACATGATTGCATACTGTGCGTTTTGACTTCTTAACGACAGTTGTAAAGCATGATGATGCTGAAAACTGGATCGACCTGATTACATGACTAAATCCGATTCAACCCGATTTTCAGAAAATGGCCATGTCTGCCACCGATACCGATAYTGAGTATCTGATCGGGACATCCCTACTTAAAATTGAACATTTTAACTGCAAAATAACTACTGCATTACCTTCTACCTGTATATAATGTACATTTAATGCATGTAATCTKTGTCTTTCCCAGACGCCGCCTAAGTTTAACTGGTCGATTGATGAAATGGCTAGTCTTCTACCWGTACACATAGACCCCGAGGAAATCCAGCGACAATCTTTTTACCTCAGCCAGACAAAGTAGGTGCTGGGAGACAAAAACCACAGTATGTGTAAAAACTGAAATTACTTGAAGGACAATTAATTGGCRTAATTATTCAATCTCAAAGTCACTRTGCAAACTAAAGATTGTCAAGAATATAACTTTATTACCAACAGACTTTGTTCCGCTTTATTTCAGGAGGGATTCTGACATTGAAGAAAAATGTCAAAATGCCATTGAGCAGGTATTAAATCCAAATCTACCTCATCTTCATTATATCATTTTTGATACGCTTCTTGATTTTTGCAATGATTTATTTTATTTCTCCCAATAAGTTTTTCACCAAAGGAGCCATCGTGCCTTCACCCTGGGCTGCACCAGAAAGCCGCAGAGCCCCTCACCTGTACAAAAAAAGTAAGTTATCTGATGTTTGCAATACTTTTTTTTATTCTTAAAGGGCCAATATTATGTGTTTCTCAGGCATATATTTAAATACTATACCATAATAAAGTGTCTATGTCACCTTTAGCTGTTATTAAAATGATTTTTTTATGTTTAAATAGAAAATAAACACATCTTCTCATCACTTCCTCTTCTAAATGCCTTGAAATTGGCCTCTGTCTCTTTAAGAACCACCTTCGCTTCTGTCTCGCCCATTTTTGGTGGGGGGGGAGCTGCTATGATGCAGTTTACTTGGCATCTAAAAATACATTTCCTCAAAGGTATTTTTAATCTGAAAAGAGCTTCACTGAGTGAGAAGTAGTTAGGAGCTCAGAGACAGCTTCAGTTTCACTTTCAGTTTCACTCGTTTGCTTTGTTACTGCCGAGAGGCTGCAGGAGTCATGGGCGGGGGGTGGGGATGTGTGCTACGTGATGAGGAAGCTCAGCTTAAAGACACGTCCCAGAGGCGTTTCTGGTCCCAAAAGGCGTTTCTGGTCCCCACCTGTCGTTTTGCTCCTCAGCATGGCTTCCTAAAAACACTGCAGGATTTATCAAACATGCATGAATGAGTCAAAGCAAGGCTTTGGGCATGTTTTTTATGAGAGTATAACATTATAACATGACATAAAACTAAAAAAAGTTGATTTTACACGATATTGCCCCTTTAACATGTCGTTTATTGTAATTTTGAACATTTCAGTTCTTCCCCATTTGATCTTACCGTTGTCTTTTCTTTTCTTGAAGGTCCGATGTCTGCAATATTTTCAGAGGAGACTGAAAAAAATTCAGGTTTGTGTGCTATATATTTTAATTATTGCTTTAATATGCTCCTCCCAAAACATATACAGTATCGGTAGATGACTAAGCCTTGATATGAAACCATACGTATATGGTTGATGCAAACATGTGTACTTGATTGATAATAATTCTGGGACTTTGTGTTACTGCTTGTTAGTTGTAGCAGTACAGGAAACAAAATTTATATAATCTGTAGATTTGCAACTAAATGCTAGCATTAGTAAGGTAGGCTTGTAGGGTTAGTCATTGGTAGGGTGCACGTGCGCTATGACGCAGTTTACTTGGCATCTGAAAATACATTTCCTCAAAGGTATTTTTTTCCCTCTTTTTCTTTTTCTTTTTTCTTTCTTTTTAGAAAATGAAACCAAATATTAGTTTATTTACTTTATTTCTTCATCATCAGTGACTTTTTTTAAGTGAAGAGAAAATAAAAACAGAGAGAAGTAATTAGAAAGATAGAAAGATTGAAATAGCGATTAGAAGTATATTAAATATACACCAACAAAACACAGGACCACACACCCAGCATCTGTCCACTCACATGGAGGGCATATATAAATATATACACATACCCATACAGACAYATATACACACTCAGTGACCAGTCAGAACCCCCCGGATCAGAACACCTGTCTGTGAGCAGTTGTGAACATGCGTGTATTTTTAATCTGAAAAGAGCGTCACTGAGTGAGAACTAAGGTTGAGAGCTCAGCAGACAGTTAAGTTTCACTTTCATTTTCACCTGAGAGCCTGCAGGAGTTATGGGCGGGGTGTGTGGGGAGGAGGTGAGGTGGGGGTGTGTGCTCTGCCATGAGGAAGTTCAGCTTAAAGACACGTCCCAGGGGCGTTTCTGGCCCCCAAAGGCATTTCTAGTCGCCACCTGTCRTTTTGCTCCTCAGCATGGCTGCCTAAAAACACTGCAGGATTTATCAAACATGCATGAATGAGTCAAAGCAAGGCTTTTGGTATGTTTTTTATGAGAGTATAACATTATAACATGATATAAAACTCAGTTGATTTTACATGATATTGTCCCTTAAAATAAAATATTTGATAGCAAGGGTTATCTATCTATCATTTATAACTTTGGAAGCTTTTTGGTTGAGAGATGGACCAGTAACAAAACTCAGAAGTGACACTAGATGTCTTTGTTTCACTTTTCTAAAGTTAATAATTAGTTTTACTTGATTTACAGTTGCTTGCCAGACAGTCCTTTCACTACCTTTGGCTTTTGATTTGGAAAAACTACTAGGTGAGTRTCTGCTGAATGCCAACAGAATCAAAGACGAGATCTTCTAATACTGGCAGAATAATTTTACCCCACCTGAGTCACTTTTTTTTTCTAGGAGAATATTACAAAAACGAGGAGGCATGTGATGCAATGCAGGAGAGCTTGAGTTCCTCCTCCCTGAGACGGAAACTTTTTATCGATGGTCAAATCAGTTACAGCGGCTCTGATAGCTCTAACCCACCGAGCCCAGAAAGAGCTAATGCCGGCCTGGAAAGACAAGCTCCCCACAGGGAAGGAGCTGGAACAAGAGCTGAGCGTCCCGGGGCAGACGCTGTACCATCTGTCTTTTCCTCCCCTTTGTCCTGTGGCATGTCGGCCCCAACTCCCTCTACGGTGAGCGCTGGAGTGAAATCCGAGGGAAAAAAACGGACACAAATAAGCAATAATTCATTTAAATTGTTCTGATTACAGGGTCAGTTTTCATCCAGTCCTATACAGCAAGGCCGCTTCAGAGACTGCAGCCTCGGCAGCATCAGCAGCTCTCTGTTTCCTGATTGGTCATCTCCTGCAGGCCACGCCTCTCCAACAATTTCACCAATTTTTCTCAATGTGGCGCGCTCTTCCATTGACTCAGGTAGACCATCTGCTTTGAAAAAATAAAAAATMGATACTTTGAGTTTGACAAATTTATTTTTAATCTGTAACGTTTCAGGTGAATGGAAACAGCCAAGTAATTTGACCCCGCACGGAGCTTCGCTGGATATCAATGTCGCTCCCTCTAACGCGAGTCCATTTGTCGAAGGCTGCTCGCCCATTCGTAGCTGCTCCCCGCACCAGTCTCACATYGCAAGACCCAGACCCCGAGTTTGCTGCTGGTCTTCCCCGCCCCTCATCTCGCCGATCCTTAACCCGAGGTTCCTCGACAATCAGGAGGATGAAGAACACCCGCATTCGTCTTCCTCCTCATGCGCTCACCTTTCCATGGAATTGGCTCCAACGTCACCTCTGACCCAAGTCGCCCACCCTGTTGCCAAAGAGCTACTTAGTCTGGATTCCATTGAAGCTGTGAAAATGGAGGAGTGTAAAGAGACGGGGATAAAAAATAGGCTGGAGGAGGGGGAGGATGCACCTTCAGAACAACTGACCAGCTCTCGCATGGGAAATGCATCKGCAATAGAAAGCTCTCAGATGTTTCTGTCTCTTCTGGCGGAGGGAAGCAGCATCCCCTATGACTCYGGCATGCAGGTTTGTGACAGAAAACTAATCAACAAAGTTAATTTTAGCATTACTGTGTCTATTAAATGAGTGTCATTGGTTTTAATCAAAAAGAAAAAAAACAAGTAGGTCCTCTGGATGGGTTCTTTAGTGAAACGTTTCATCTCTCCAAGAGACTTCTTCGGTCTGATGAGTTTCAGGTGAAACTCTCACGTAGCTCGTCTGTGCTGACTCATTCTTTTGAACAAGAGGGACAAAAACAATGGGACGTTGAACCCCCGCTTGCATTCACTACGTACACATAACACGACACAGGTCAGGTGATGGGGCATATGACCCTCTATGAACAATAGAGCCAATCAAGCCTATTGTTAGTTGATGGCCCTCTTTTGCATGTGACTAACCTGTTGGTCCATGTGGAGGCAGTGCTTATAAGGCTGAGTTCACCTGAAACTCATCAGACTGAAGAAGTCTCTTGGAAGAGAGACGAAACGTTTCATTAAAGAAGAAACCATCCAGAGGACCTATACAAAATTTTTCTTTTTGATTTTTTTCTATCTGGATTACTGAGATGCATCAGGACATTGGTTTTAATATTCTGCTCTTTTTTTAAATAGAATATTAACTTTGTGTGCATTTAGGTGGATAGCGGTTATAACACTACGTCRGCAGGCACTGCTAGCCTCATTGATGGCCTTGGCTCAGACTGTCAGACCAAAGAGTCTCACAGTTCTAACCTGGTGGAAGAAGGGTTCCTCTTCTCTCGACACAAAGTTAAAGTAAGGTTAATCCTTAACACAAAACTGCAGGACAGTTACTCCGTTCATTGGTGCTTTTGAACAATTAAATGTGTTAAATTGGATGTTTTTTGAGACATATGCAACAGCAAGGAACTAGTYGATCTAATCTTACTAAAACAACCCCTGGAACTTAAAAGTACTGAGTAGAAAAGTTAATTCTAACAATGTAGATGTTTCAAGTTTTTCACTAAATTGACATTTTGTATTTTTCAGTTTTATCCTCACCATGGAGTCTCCTGATTTCTACATGAAAAGGAACAACTCGTCCAGTGGAAACGCATAGCTCTGTAATCAAACACATATTTATACAATGTTGAAAGAATCATAGGTTAATTTGTACTGAACGGCTGTAAGAATTTGTTTTGGGTAGATCTGAGGGTGATGAGACACCCGACTGAAAATAAATGAATTTGTATATTTTATGAAAATGGGTAGAACCCGGTTTGTTTTTAAGACTCTGACATTTTAAGTCTTAGACTGCATCATGCAGCAAGTGGCCAGAAGTGAAACCTTTGGATTTATTACACTGGTTTACTAAAAGGGAGGAGACTTTTTTAATGGATTTTTGCACATAAATATACTTCCTAAGTGCTGTATTGATGCCAGTGGCAGAATCTTGCTTTATTTTTGGTGCCAACATGATTGACATGATAAATCTTCACTTTCAGATGAAAATCAAACCTGTACTGTATTTATATTTATATAAGCCTGTTTATTGTGACAAATTCATTCACGTTTTCCCTTGCTGTGTAAATAGTTTTTTTAAATTCAGGTTACCTGTGGATCTTATTAAACAACGCCATAAGTGAACTAAATGTTGAAAAGCTATGACTTCTTTAAAATGTATTTCACAGTGCTACAATATATTGTGGTCACATTAGACTAAGGTTTTTTTCTATTTACCTTGAAGAAACACTATTTTTTCAGTTTCTGTGTACAGTCATATCAGTTCACAATATTTTAAACTATTTTTCCAACAACATTTTACTCCTGTTTCATGTTTGTTGGTATCATATCCTATTCCCATATAGTGGCTCCTAATTTTGCTTAAATAACATTTGACCAGAGTAACTAAGCAGGAAACAGTTTTTTTATTCTATTTAAAAAAAAAAGCATAACCATGAAGGCAAAAAAACTAACACATTGTTTTGCCAATAAATTCTTCAATTCATTGAATGATAAAGGAAAAGAGCGTATGAAATTGGAGCAGTGACATATTTAGCCAAATGATTTGCATACTTGCTCCAGTTATCCTCTAYGGTACATTACAACATGGTGGGTGAACTATGACACTGCTTTCTCCATCAGCAGTCCAGTTTCTGTTTCTTGGCTTGTGGTTCAGCCTCAGGGACAGGAACACTAACACCGGGGATCTAAAATRAAGAATATTTCAGTTTGAGAATATACTGGTTTTTCATTGATACAAGTCTTCCAACCAGGAGTCAAAACGATTTATATACTTAAAGCTTAATACTGTGTATTTTTATTGAATAATGAAAGAAAAAAAAATGTTGTAGAACTGAGTTTGTTCTTACCACAGGTTCTGTTAGAGCCATGCGGATCTTCTGGTGCTGAATGTTGGAGGCATCTAGGCTGATAGTGACCTTCACCCTATCAAATATGTGAAATGTGTGCTGCTCCACCTTTAGAGTTGGACCCTAACCATATACACAAAAAAGAGCCAAAACAATTAAATACAAATCTAAATCTAAAATGAAAAAAATCCAACAGCTTTTGATAGAAATAAGGAATTTGTTCATACCGCTTCATCAAAAACGAGGTTGGGTGACATTTTGTCTTTAGTTTGAAAGAAGACTGTTCCCTCCAGACCAAACTTTGGGATAAGAACGATGATTGCATTCTTCCTCACAAACAGAACGAATCCTTCTTCATTCAGTATGCCTCGAGTCTTGAAGAACAACTGAAAGACACACAACGTATTTCAGTTAGGACAGTGGGATGTGTTTGCTACAATAYTCTTTTCAAACAAATGCTTTTTTTTAATGTGCGTAATTAAAATACTGTCATTTAGAAATGGGTGTGTAKATGTTTACCTGTGTGTGGAAGGCCACTGATGCCCTCTGTGCATACTGAGACATTTTGTGTCTGTAGTTGAGGTTGTTGCAGAGGGCCGACTGTTTATGCTTGTCCATCAGATCAGGGTAGGTGTTGTCTGCTTCTATAGCCACTGCCAGCAGGCGGTGCACTATTATATCTGCATATCTGTGAGCAAATGCAAAAACGCACATAAAGTTCACATGCAGGGAAAACGGAGATTATAGAAGCACAGTTATGATCGAGATATGTATATTTTCCATACCTCCTAATTGGTGATGTGAAGTGTGTATAAATGGGGGAGGCCAGACCATAATGGTGGAAGTCGCTGTCCATGCCTGAACAGAAATAGACAGCTTGCATCATGCAGCGCGTGGCCAGGATGCGCAGGAGTGTGTTGAAATACATAAAGCCATCCACTTTGGCGACATCGAGGGAATCGGCRAGTGCCTTGGCTGAATTGACGTGGATGTCCACATTCTGATAAGAGATAAAAGTAAAAAAAAAAAAAGTTTGAATAAAAAGCCAGAGCATGGTTTTCTTTACGTCGTGCACAAATTTCATAGAAAGAATGGGCCTCATGCAAGAACATGTTTGTATTCTTATCCTAAATTTCTCTTTTGTTCGTACGAAGGGTTCGTATGAACATGCCAYGTCAGATTCAGCAAACTCTTCTATCTTCAGGAAAAGTGTGTAAATGAGCTGCGTAAACTGATGAATGTGTATCAGGTGCTCGTTTACGGGGAGAGGTCATTTACATGATTACCACCCCAAAAACACCATATAAGGATGTACGTTTCCTGCCCTACATACCAGGACGTATTCATTCATAAGTGACATTGCAAAGTAAAAAAGAAGAAATTTACTAGTTCGGAGACTGAGGTGCTCTCGGAGATCCACAAAAAAAGGAAAAAAAAAAACATTTTTAACAGCATCAGCTGTAGATTTAAAGGATCTTCTTTAAAGTCGAGGAATGAAATGACGACTGCTGTTAATGTTGTGTCTCCCGTGGGTCGTACAGTCACAGAAATAAAAATCTAAATCATATTTATCTCTCTCTGTAGTCCTGCTCTGGTTTTTCTTTGGTCAAATATTTTTAATTTCAGCGTAAACTGTGTTACATGTTTCACTTATTCAGGGGAGCAGTCGTCCCCCACCCCCGGCCACAAGTGTCGGATGCATTTCTGGAAAAAAGCATTTTAAAATGTCTCAAAACATCAATTAACTTCATATTTATATTGTAGNCAGCATCAGCTGTAGATTTAAAGGATCTTCTTTAAAGTCGAGGAATAAAATGTCAACTGCTGTTAATGCCATGTCTCCCGTGGGTCGTACAGTCACAGAAATAAAAATCTAAATCATATTTATCTCTCTCTGTAGTCCTGCTCTGGTTGTTCTTTAGTCAAATATTTTTTTTTAATTTCAGCGTAAACAGTGTTACATGTTTCACTTATTCAGGGGAGCAGTCGTCCCCCCGGCGCAAGTGTCGGATGCGTTTCTGGAAAAAAGCATTTTAAAATGTCTCAAAACTTCAATTAACTTTATATTAATATTGTAGTGCTATACAACAAAATTAATAGCCAATTTATTTAAATTTAACCAATTTATGTCATTAGTCTACACTTTATTAAATTTAAAATTATAACTCTAACTCAAACAGAATAACCTGTTGTCAACATAATTATAGAGTGTGATTTATTTTCAACTCAAAATATCTTCAAACTAATGAAATATAAAGTTATTAATGAAGAAAATATGTCTGGATAACAGCAGACTGACTGCTCGTAAAATATACAGTACGACAGGTCTGGACCACTCGTGAATTTTGTTCGTATCTGAAGAAAATCTTAGAATATGAGAAAATTGGTGAATGCCTCAAATTCTCCTGAATCACTCGTACGCACACAACTTAAGAACAAATCTGTGCGTACGAACGGTTCTTGCATGAGGCCCATTGACTACATGTAAATACTGGCACATAACCTTTAAGTTCAATGGTTCTGATCATGAACTGCATGGAAATGAAATGAAAGGAGTTGGAGCAAACAAAAAAAAGCATGACCACGTGGACTAACTTTGGACTTTCCAGCCTTGATCAGGATGTCATAGTTCGACGGAGGCGGTGCTGGATGTTTCCTCAGCAGAGCACACTCAGAAAATTCTTCATAGATCTTCTTTGCGACTGAAATATTGGCCAGCAACATGAACTCCTCCACCATGGAGTTTGTCTCCCTGAAAACCCAAAAGAAACATTTCATGGCTCTTAATTAAAAGAAAAACTTCTGCACGTTACATTTGAGGAWTATAAGATTTTATGTAATGCTTATTTTGATAATTACGGTACTCACATGAGTTCTTTTGTTTGCAGGTCTATGGGGTCGTGGGTTTCACTGTCCATGTGGAACCGAACCTCTAAGGATGACAGTGTCAGCGCCCTGAAGAAAAGTCAAACCACTGCCATTAATAACCAGTTAATAAAAAAAAACATCCCTGTCTACTTAAAGGTTTATGCACAAGCATCTTATGTAGTATTAAAATGTACCATCTGACATTTTTATTATACAAATCCTTATTCTTTACCCGCTCTCTATCCTCTGCCTCTTGAGGATTTTGGCGAGTTTGTTGAGTCTCCGTAAGCTTTCAGTGATGTCATCATTCTTACTGGTGTCATCTATCCTCATCTGGGCCTCAGCATAAGTCAGAGATGCCTAAACAAAATTCAATAGCAAAGCAACAAATAAATTAATTAGTAATTTAGATTTTATACATTGAACATAGTGATTTAATTTCATACAAATTGCTAAACAAGGCAATTGAGAGTAAGATAATTTAACACAAGAGCTGCTTAAAATAAATCTATATAAACATTGCTAGCTTCATTTTTTGGAATAGCACTTTACCTTGGAATTGATCACACTTTTTGTGAACCTAGTTTTCAAAACTTCTGCCTTGTGGTTCATTTCCCAAATACACGAAAAAGCAAACCTGGTAAAGGTAAAAAAGAGAAAACATGTCCAGGATTCATCGGTCTCAGGTGGATTAGACACAAAAAGCATTTAGATATACAATTTTTTTTGTTTTCAAATTTTTTGGAGTATAATGAAAGCTCATCAGATGTGATTTTATAGTCCTCACCTTTCCACATTGGAGCGTAGAGAACAAAGATTGGAGCTGAGCAGCTCAGGAACCATGTCTATCCTCTGTTGGAAACAATATTAAACAATTTTAGCACCTCTTATGTTTTATACAGAATGGAACAATGAAATGAATATTCAGCAAAAGACTATCAAGCCTGTTTATAAGCAAAAAGCATGGGTCAAGATTTCTTCTAAGGTGAGAAGCTAAAAAACATTCTAGTTTAATATATAAAGCTGAGAATGGAATATTTTTGGAATATTTCGAAAAGATCACAATTTTCTTTGTTTTACTATTTTAAAAGAAAAAAAGGAAATCTGTATTGCAGCTGCTACGTCGCTCTTCATTCACAGCACAGATAAGTGTCCATTCTTGTCTTAGAATCCTCTCATTTTTACAATAAATGACTAAGTAAACTAATGAGTCAGATTTTCATACTTTGCCGCACAAATACACTGTGGTACCACGGTTGGCAGCCTCTTTGTCCAGCGCATTGCCAGGTCTGATGAAGTGACTGACATCAGCGATGTGAACTCCCACCTGCAGATTACACACACAGAGGCACATGTAAAGCTGAATGCACGAGCTCATTACTGTCACTGATAGTGTAAATGTACACCATGTGCACCTCCAGGTTTCCGTTTTCCAGTTCTCTACAGTGAAGGGCATCATCTATATCTGTACAACCGGGAGGATCCACACTGCACACTGTCAGATGCCTCAGGTCCTCTCTCTTCGCCATGTCCTGTAAAACACACAGCGTCACACTTTTTCATATACAGATCCACAAAAGAAAAAAAAAAAACAGAATCGGTCATGGTGCTCTCCAGAAAAGGTCACCTCTGGTGTGATGGTCCACGGCATCTTGGGAAGGAAGCTGAGAACAGCCTGAGAGAAGGCCTGATGTGGAACGTCATGCTCCAGAAGCAGCACCTCCTCCTCGGTTTCCTTCTCTCCTGCGCTCCCCAGACTGCGGACAAAGTGACCCTGACACACACACACATACACACACACACACGTTACAAGAAACTAACAGAAGAATAAACTTCTTGCTAGATTTTGGGAAAAGTCTTACATTTGGGTATCTGGAGTCTTTGGGCCAGCCATCTATGGCCACCATGATCCTTTGGCCTGCAAGTGCAGASGCCTGTCGTGTCTCAATCCGAATGCGTGGAACACGGCGGTCTGCCGGGGTGAACAGATGGCGAGTGGACTGGATKGAAGCAGAGAGGAAAGGTTCCACCAGTGCTTGAGTTAGACAGCAGTAACAGGAGAAGGTTGCATACTGTTTTTAGCTTTAGATTTTCAAATAATAAGAGTAAATAGCAGTTTAAAGTTACCTCTTTGATTTGGGAGAGATTCAACATGCCGCAGAATGGCCTCCAATTCCTTTTGATGATTCCCACAACTTTACCTGTTGGTTTCCTGGCTGCCTCTGCTGCTGATAACTTTAACTGACAGAAACACGGTGGTCACTTATACACAGTTATAACAAGGGCTGTTGATTAATTACGTGGTTTTCTTCTTACTGAAAAAAAACAACACCCTGCTGAGTTTTCCTCCATATTTAACTTCCTTTAATTAAAACAAAAATTCACCACTTTCTCCTCTTCATCCTCCTCGGCATTATCATCCTTTGCCGCGCCGTCGTCTTGTAGCACAACTGCTGAAGGTGACACCCACTGATTCTGTGGCAGCAGCTGCACGGCGACCACATCCTGGTGCACGGCTCTGTTGAGGTTTTGAAGACCCTGGATGAGAATCTGTGAACGAGCCAAAAACAACAACACGAAGCTTTTTTAACGCGTGAATGTGTTAACAACGGCAGTCTCCACTGCACTCAGTCAAATGTCCATACAAAAACACACACACCTCTGTGCTGTCCTCTCCGTCTCCCTGGACAAAAACCGTGGCCTCCAGGTAGTTGTCCCTGCTGGCTCGGAAGGTGCCCTGAACAAAGGAGCCGCACTTAATTCCTGCCTGGATCTTGGACAGAGGAAGGTGTTCTGGAAACAATACTTTGCTGCTTGTAATTTCATTCTGAGGGAGAAAATAAAACAAATCAGTTAAAAAGAAAAAAAAAACGAACATGACATCCTTAAAAGAAAAGAAAAAAAAAAGATGTAACCACAGACAATATGAAAAACTGTGCATGCATCATCACTTTACCCTAGATCAAAAAACAGCATTTAATCCTAACTGCAACCAATATAAACTGGTGCTCACCTTATCATCAGTGGACAAAGCAAGACGGTCCACAAGCTCAGGATTTGCTATAAGACTTCTGACGTATTCCTCAACTAGAATATTAGAAAATAAATAACAGTGACAAACCTTTCAGTGGATACAAAATAAAAAGTGTGCTTCATCTAAAAGAACACAGTGCACTATGAACTTACATTTATAGACCATCAAGTTGTCCTCCTGTGCTTTCTGTTTGTTCCCTAGATCGTTGGTGAGCAGGACCACTTTGAGACCGTCTGGTCCCGAATCGAGAGTTTTCAGATGGCGATTGTACCACTTGACTGCCTCGCGGATTGCACGATCGTTGCGGTCATTGGCGCTCTCCCCCGGTTCACGCTCAATGAAAGTCTCTCTGGAGAAACGGGAATCACAAGAATAAGCACAAAAACATATATATCATATGCTTTTCAAAAGCAAAGGTGCAACATATTCAATCTGTTCTTAATAAACTAATAACTAAGCATGCRAGGAAACAAAACAAACACCTTATTACTAATATCATAAGTCATCTTTAAATTTAAACCCTGATACGAGTTCTAAACTATTTGCTTAAACTGTGGGTGTCTTCTCATGTGTCACTATTATGCAATTACTGTAGTGTAGTAATGTAGTGAAAAAACCCACAGCAGTGTGTTTGTACCTGTGGTGTTCGTTGGTAAAAACGTAAAAGTATTTCTCTTTTTCGTGTATAATATCCTTCAGGCGTTTGTAGACAGGTGCACTGCGATGGCGTACTTCCTGCAGTACTGTCTGAAGGATTATCACATTACGGACCACAGAATCTTCTAGCACGTCAATCTGCAGAGATAAGTTCAGGACAAATGTTATTTAAAAAAAAAAGAACAGAAATTGTAACTAAAACAGTATGCATACTCGACTGCTAGACAAAAATAAAGGAAAATATACCTGATGTAGAACCACATTCGTGTCAGGAACCAAATAATGCGGATAAGTGCAGAGATTGCTCTCGATACACGCGTCCTTCTGTAGCAGCACAGTAGTCTCCTGTTTGCATTCAGCGCAAACCTCACTTCCACACCAAATATCATCTCTGAGATAATGCTCACGCACTACCTTCACCACCCCACCCGACCGGGTCTTCTTAACGAAGGTTTTTGACTTCAACATGACGAGGATAAAAGCCCCTAAAGCACAAATTGGGGATGAATTTATAAATAAAAAATCACTTGAAGATGCCAGACGGTTTTGTTACGCATGTGTAAACGAACCCAGTCGGACGACAAAAACGTTTTCCTGTGTTTTAAAAAATGAATTATATTGCACTTCAGAAAATAACAGCTTTATAGGCTGTCTATTTTCGTCATCTCAAAGCAAAGTAAATAATCTTTTACCAGTGATAAAACCAATTTAAATGTAATTTAAATCTGATTAAAAATAAGTATAGAAGCGCACGCTTAATTTTGGTTGTCCATCTTTTTTTGACGATGAAAACAAAGCCAAGGAAGGTAGGACAGGAACTGAACTAAATATTGTAGCGCCCCTAACGTAAGGAGGGTGTACTGCAAGACTTTGCATTTTAACTGAAGCTTGTGAGTGCAGTATATTGAATTTCCCCTAGAGGACACTGTAGTCGACACCTCCGTACACAAAAACTGTTGGCGGTTAGCAGGCAGCTCCAAGCGGGACCCTTGAAAACAAAAACAGTTCCGTGCATTCTGTACTCAATCAGCATGCTATTTCAACTGCATACTTTATTTATTTAAGTATAAGTAGGCGTTTTAATGTTCTACATGGTTAGTCAGGAACTAACATTTAAGTAGCAATTAATATGGCGATGTCGCTGAACTCGTTCACTTTGTAATTAATTGACCCGGTTTGCAAGTTGGCCTCTCTGGAGGGAAACAAAACGGGACAATAATGCCTCCCAAGAAGCACCAGCTGAAGCCGACGGCAACCAACGTGTCCAGCTCCTTGGACCTGGGGTCTGAGGACGTCAGTCTGGAGACCACCGTGCCGACCACAGAGGAGGTGTCCTCGTCGGACGAGCAGCGGGATGCCTCCCAGAAGGTGACCCGTCAGCTGATCGAGAGGAAGGAGCTGCTGAACACAGTCCAGATGCTAAAAATCGAACTTTCTCAAAAGAATCTCCTCATTGACAACATGAAGGCTGATTATATGTCAAAGGTATTTATCATCTGTGACCCATTAAACTGCTGACACATTCATCTTTTTGCTGATTTCCATCCATTCCTTAATAGCTTATGGCAGTCTTTTAAGACCGTGACAACTTTTTATCTCATTTCCTGGACTGGAAATTAGAAAAATAACCCGCTATTGTGTTAAAAAAACAGCCTTGGAAAGCTCATACTCATATTCTTCTTAAATATTTTGCGTTTTAAGAGATTTAAAGAAAGTTTGGATCTTTGGAAGCATTAAAATAATAATAATAATAATAATAATAATAATAATAATAATAATAATAATAATAATAAAAACCAAGGGAAAAGACTGAAATTTATTTGATCAGACTTATTGTTTCTTATCTTCTGTTTCAGACCGAGGAGCTGGAAGAGAAACTTAATGATGCCCTGCATCAGAAACAAGTGTTGTCCTTGAGACTGGACAGCCAGTTGAAACTTGCCGAGGAGGAAAACAGGTGAGAAAAAATCATTTAAAAAAGCTAAAGAATATCCCCCAAACCAGACTTAACATGTTTTTATGGCTACATAATGGGTTCGCAAGTGATGATAGTCACAAAAATCAACTCTGCACTTACCTTACTTCCACTTAATCAGAATCAGAATACTTGATCCTTACAGCTGCAACCGTTCAAGTAAGTATTAGAGATAAAATATAAAGGAAAAAATATTAGAGCACACAAGGAAGTAAATATAAAGGAAGTATAAAGGTGAAAAATTAGAGCATACAAGGAAGAAATAAGTATAAACACTGTGGGGAACTAAATGAACACAGAGAACAATACATACTTTGGCATCTATACAGTGTAAATAAAAAATAAGAACAGTGAAGCTAAAAACAGCATGGCTGATGCAGAGGTCCCATCAGGTATCATTAGATGATAGAAGAATAGGTGATGATAGTGAAGTGTATTGTAGTTTTGAAACTTTGAAAGCTTGAAATTAAACCTGAATCAAATCCATCATCTTAAAATGCTTGCTTTTGAATAAGAGTGTTGTTTTTTTTTTCTTGGCTAATAAACTCAATCTTAAATTGTTGTCATCAGGAAACAGCAGGAGCTGCGTAAGCAGGAGACGGAGGCCATCCTTCTCCGGCAGCAGCAGCTGGAGGAGACCAACCGGCGGCTCTGCGAGACGGCCAGAGAGCTGCGGAGGTCCTTCAGGGACCTGGACATCTCCCAGGACAGGTACGAGGAGCTCCGCGGCATCCCAGAAGACAAGGTGTCCATACAGGAATACATAGCTGTAAGTACGCCAGAGCGCTCCTGTAACTCCACCTCTGCTGACGATGGCGGAAGAGACGAGATCATCACACGCTGAAGTCCTCTAATGTGACTCTCTGCTCTGCGCCGTGTGTTTAGATGCGTTTCTACGAAGCTGTGACTGCTCTGCGAACKCAGCTGACTCAGCTGAGTGAGCAGAAAAGCTATCTGACTGAGGAGTTGGACTTGCACAGAACCAAGATGAAGACTTTGATGGAGGTATAAGACACAGATAAAACCCTACTGCACCTCAGTGACRTCAAGTCAGATACTTTAAAAGCCAAAACACTGTGAATAAAGAGATATTTTAAAACTAGGTGCAAAGCTGTGATGCAGGCGGTTGGTTTAATCCACTCACAACGTGTCCACTGGGCTGACTTTGACGTTTTGTTTAACGGGAATCCACAGAGCTACGAGGAGGAGCGGCGCCGTCGTTCCGAGCTGGAGCTGAGGAGCCAGAGACTGACCTTAGAGCTGGCTGACACCAAACAGCTGATCCAGGAAGGGGACTACCGCCGGGACAACTACCCCAACATCAAACGGTTTGTGCGCGAGACAGAACTRGAGAGATTGCTCCTCTGAACCTGGTTTTATTTTGATAGGTACAGTTCAGTAAAATACTCCAAAAGAGGCAAAAACACACATCGAACCTTAACTTAAAAAAAATATTTATAAAAATGCCCCTAAAAATAGATTTAAAAACAATCCAAGCTGCCTGTTTTTTGCTTAGTGTTGATTAAAAAACACATGAGTAAACATTTAAAAAAATCAAAACATTTAGGTTTTATTTGGAAAATTTATTAAAGTGTCAGCATTGGAAAATCACACGTACCTGAAACTTTAATATTCTGTACTTAAATTGCAATGATGAAGTCAAAACACATGTACACACAGTAGCTTACATGCAGCATATAACTTTTATATTTGACGCCTGTTTTTTTATTTATTTATTCAACACAAGTTTGAAATTTTTTAACCTCAGAGTATTATAATCTTTTACACGCAGATAATTCAAATTCAATTCAAATTCAAAAATACTTTATTGATCCCAGAGGGAAACTTGGTAAGGACAGATATTTTTGCTGTTGTAATATTCAAAGCACAACTTTTAATGATTTATTCAGTAAATGAAATGAGAAACGCTTGCATTTTATCTCTCAACGACGTTTTGCTTCATAGTGAGCGTGATAACTTCGAAGGGGAGCTGAAGGAGTTAAAGAGGAGATTCGACACGGTYGACTTGTCTCACGCTGCCTTGACCAGAGAGCGAGACGCCCTCAGCAACGAGGTGCGTCCCACAAACATTTCCACGCTTAAAACTCAGCGTCCGTGGCGACCAAAGCTCCCAGGTTTAGCTGCATTTCTCTGTCCCGCCCTGCAGGTGGCGACGTTGAAGCAGTCGGTGACCCTCCTGCAGAAGGACAAGGAGTACCTCCACAGGCAGAACCTGGAGCTCAGTGTTCGCTGTGCGCACGAAGAAGATCGCCTCGAGAGGCTGCAGGTCCAAACTGTTCACCAAATGGGAGTTTTGTCTGATGAATGAGACATTCAGGAGCAGAACGAATTCACACAGTTTGCTTTTAATTCTTCTTTTTGTGGTCCAGGTACAATTAGAAGACACTAAGAAGGCCAGGGAGGAGGCCTATGAAAAATATGTAGCATCCAGGTTCGAATCTGCTTCATTGCACCAGTCATCAGTTATATTTCTTCTTTTTCCCCAAGCAAATAATACCCAACTTCAACACTGTCCTCTGGTCCAGTCTAGATCTACTAAAAGAGTTATATCTGTGCTTTTGTTTAACATTTTCCCATCTTTCTCCCACAGAGACCACTATAAGTTGGAGTACGAGCACAAGTTGAGAGATGAACTGGAGAACATCCGACTAAAAACCAGTCAGGAGATAGAGAACCTGCAGAGAACCTCCAGAGAGATGTATGAGAGGGAGAACAGGTACCAAATACTCCAAACTCGTTTCATTGGATTCAGATTACAAGTGTACATAAATAAAATGCCTCTTATGTTCGTTTTCACGTCTGTCAACAATCCAAAGAAACAAAAACAGTAACCTTGATAACACTAAGCTTGATTTTGCGATATAAAACATAAAAAAATTGCTTTGAGTGAGAAAGAGGAAATTTTTTATATATTTTTTTGTTAATTGTGTTTTTATTTAACCAGACATTTGCGAGAGGCGAGAGACAACGCAGTTCTGGAGAAGGACAGAGCCACAGCTGCCGAGAGAGACGCTCAGTCCAGATACGACCAAATGTTGGAGCAGTAAGTTTCATCCGTCGCACACGTGAAGAAGGCATGGATACAGTGTCCGCTATATTTGTTACAACATACAGAACATTCAGTCAGTGGCAGGATTGGTTCACTTTACTATTTCTTTGTTGTTTTTGTTGCATTTTACTAAGCAGAAAGTTCAGGTTTTGTTCATTTAATAAGTTTTGATTTGCCATTTTGTTAACATACGATGCAATTTCAGAGCTGGGTTTGTTCATCAGCCCCGTATGGGTCCAGTTATTTTCAGAYCCACATAGCATAAAGGTGTGGGCCAGATCTGGTGTCAGGCTGGCACTGCTGGCTGACTGCTGGCATGGCAGGTGGTTTGTCAACTGGATGTGGGCCAGGTCTAGCAAAAAATGGCCTTGTTTTTAAGATGGCSTGCCATAGCTGGCCCAGTTGTGGTTTGGTTTATGTGGTGCCGGTCCGTGCATGGACCACCTCTGACAAACCATATCTGGGCCACCAAGGGGTCGCCATTCTTGGCAGTATTTGGGCTGGGTGTTTTGTGTGGGCCAGTGCTGGGCCCGACACATTTCACTATTGTTTGTCAGATGACTTTTTCTTCAAGAGCTTAACGCAATTTCTCAGAAATTACAAAAAAAAAAAAACAGTTTGTCACCACAGATATGCATTGTTAGACAAAGTTAGCAATGATTATTACCACACTTTACACRCCTCAACTCCCTGAACAGTGCACTGCATTATGTTTTACTGTCTTTCACAACGTTTAAGATGTTTTGATGTTCCAAGCGACTTAAACATTGTGAAAATCAGTAAAAAAAAAAAGTGTCAGCTCTTTACAAGCTAAGAATTTGTTCCCCTGCTGGAACCAGTTTTCCTGGCTGACAACTAGATTTCTGTGGAAACACGAAGAACTTGTTTAAGATTAGCTGCTTGTCGCAGGCAGCTTTAAAACCGCCGCAGTCCAAAAGAAGTTGAACTAAACTGACCTTTTAAACGTGACTCCATAATGCCTCGTTGTAGCCAAGGCTCAAGCAAAACCACCRAATGTAAAAATGGAAACAATTAAAGGCTTACCATTTCTTGACGAAGCGCCTATCACTCGCTGCGTTCTGTGCCAGAGTTTTAAAAGTAAACTSTTTTTATGCAGAGAARRGACAGAGTTAAAWCTGTTTTGGTCAAACCTTGTAAAAGATGMTRTATGTGACCCATCACATCAAAATGAGGGTTAAGTCAAATTTGGTCAAAATTACCTACGGTAATAATATTTTCAGATTATTGGCTTTAAAAGCTACATTTTGATACTTTTATCATCCTGATATCATCTACTTTCACAAATTTTTAAAAATCAGCCACTGTCCCCTTTTTCCTTTGTTGTAAGAGAGGGGTGTCCAGTTAAAACAAGCTTTTATTGGTTTAAGGGTATTGTTTAAGTTTTATAAATAAAATAAGATCAGAACATTGAAGGTGTACTGTGACTTTATAACACCTGACAGTGTCAGTTATAAAAGAAAAATCTTATGCTAATTTATTTTAAGATCCTCAATACAAAGATATGTGTTTTCTTACAAGCAAATGAGGTTGTTTTGTGTGTTTTTCCCCACAAACATGACGACATTTGAGGACCTAATTACCCTAATTGAACCGAGAGGAAAAAACATTACGAGAACGGCTGCCGTTAAAAGCAACACACCAGTTTACAGGATGTAAACAGACTACACCTGAAGGCAAATGAGGCCAAATACACATTCCGTCACTGGTTTGTAACATATTGTTTGCTACTCAGGTATGTGCTTACTCCTGTCGGGATGGCAAAAAACCAAATGAGTATGAGTGATACTGGGTTTGGAATCCTCCGGTGTTTCATTGAAGATACGGTTTCTGTTCTGACGGTGTGTGTGTGTGTGTGTGTGTGTGTGTGTGTGTGTGTGT